TATTAATGATCAAGACTGATGTCAGTTGTTGTTCTTTTTTATCAGACCGAAAATTAATATAATTTAATATTCCAAACTACCTTGAAAATCATCCGAGCGAGAATCAAATTATTGAGATTTTTTTGTTTTGTTTTATACATTGGTGTCTTTTGAGTTTTTTTTCAAAACAAAAACATAATTAATTCACAAAATGAATTTTTAACAAATGAACATTCAAATTAAGAAGACAAAAATAACGACACGGAATGTCTTTAAAGACTGTGATTAATATTGCAAAAAAAATATCAAAAAGACGCTTTTCCCAGAAAATTAAAAATTAATGGTGTTTTTTCTTTTATCGAAATTGATTCCATACACGATTAAACGTTGAACAAATCATCGTTTCATTTCTTATATCAAATCCCAAAAGTGTGGTTAGCCACTCTAGGGAATCCCACCATGCCGTGTTCGGTAAATTAAAATTACTACCCGGAGGATAAAAAACGAAAGAAATTCTTTGTGATAATTTCAACTTTATTATTTAATGTTTAGGTCTTTGTAATAATCTTTTTGTCTGAATTGTTTTATTCTTTCGTTTCATATGACAAGTCATGGGTAGAATTTTATATCATTCCAATATCATTAACATTTACAGTCTTCGCGATTTTAATTTCTGGGTTGAAAATCTCATAAATCTAGTCTTCATATCGACATTAATTTGAAGATTTTCTGGAATTGTTTTGTTAATAATTGATGATGATATGGAAACAGAATGGTGTTTTACTTCTAACATTTCTCCTCCCTTTTGCGACAAAAACTAGTTTAAAAACACATATCACTGCTTCTTTGTTGTACCAAACAATCTACTAGCTAGTTAGACACGATAGTCTGGTATGTTCAAGTCTCATTCTGACTACAGAAAACTGTCATTGTACCAAACAATCTACTAGCTAGTTAGACACCATAGTTTGGTATGTTCTAGTCTCATTCTGACTACAGAAAACTGTCATTGTACCAAACAATCTACTAGCTAGTCAGACATGATAGTTTGGTATGTTCTAGTCCCATTCTGACTACAGAAAACTGTCATTGTACCAAACAATCTACTAGCTAGTTAGACATGATAGTTTGATATGCTCTAGTCTCATTCTGACCACAGAAAACTGTCATTATACCAAACAATCTACTAGCTAGTTAGACATGATAGTTTGATATGCTCTAGTCTCATTCTGACCACAGAAAACTGTCATTGTACCAAACAATCTACTAGATAGTTAGACACGATAGTCTGGTATACTCTAGTCTCATTCTGACCACAGAAAACTATCATTATACCAATCAATCTACTAGCTAGTTAGACATGATAGTCTGGTATACTCTAGTCTCATTCTGACCACAGAAAACTATCATTATACCAATCAATCTACGAGCTAGTTAGACACGATAGTCTGGTATGCTCTAGTCTCATTCTGACCACAGAAAACTATCATTATACCAATCAATCTACTAGCTAGTTAGACATGATAGTTTGATATGTTCTAGTCTCATTCTGACTACAGAAAACTATCATTATACCAATCAATCTACTAGCTAGTTAGACACGATAGTCTGGTATGCTCTAGTCTCATTCTGACCACAGAAAACTATCATTATACCAATCAATCTACTAGCTAGTTAGACATGATAGTTTGATATGCTCTAGTCTCATTCTGACCACAGAAAACTGTCATTGTACCAAACAATCTACTAGCTAGTTAGACACGATAGTCTGGTATACTCTAGTCTCATTCTGACCACAGAAAACTATCATTATACCAATCAATCTACTAGCTAGTTAGACATGATAGTCTGGTATACTCTAGTCTCATTCTGACCACAGAAAACTATCATTATACCAATCAATCTACTAGCTAGTTAGACACGATATTCTGGTATGCTCTAGTCTCATTCTGACCACAGAAAACTATCATTATACCAATCAATCTACTAGCTAGTTAGACACGATAGTCTGATATGTTCTAGTCTCATTCTGACTACAGAAAACTATCATTGTACCAATCAATCTACTAGCTAGTTAGACACGATAGTCTGGTATGCTCTAGTCTCATTCTGACCACAGAAAACTGTCATTATACCAATCAATCTACTAGCTAGTTAGACACGATAGTCTGGTATGCTCTAGTCTCATTCTGACCACAGAAAACTGTCATTGTACCAAACAATCTACTAGCTAGTTAGACATGATAGTCTGGTATGCTCTAGTCTCATTCTGACCACAGAAAACTATCATTATACCAATCAATCTACTAGCTAGTTAGACATGATAGTCTGGTATGTTCTAGTCTCATTCTGACTACAGAAAACTGTCATTGTACCAATCAATCTACTAGCTAGTTAGACACGATAGTTTGGTATGCTCTAGTCTCATTCTGACCACAGAAAACTATCATTGTACCAAACAATCTGCTAGCTAGTTAGACACGATAGTCTGGTATGTTCAAGTCTCGTTCTGACTACTGAAAACTGTCATTGTACCAATCAATCTACTAGCTAGTTAGACACGATAGTCTGGTATGTTCAAGTCTCATTCTGACTACAGAAAACTGTCACTGTACCAAACAATCTACTAGCTAGTTAGACACGATAGTCTGGTATGTTCTAGTCTCATTCTGACTACAGACAACTGTCATTGTACCAAACAATCTACTAGCTAGTTAGACACCATAGTTTGGTATGTTCTAGTCTCATTCTGACTACAGAAAACTGTCACTGTACCAAACAATCTACTAGCTAGTTAGACACGATAGTCTGGTATGTTCTAGTCTCATTCTGACTACAGAAAACTGTCACTGTACCAAACAATCTACTAGCTAGTTAGACACGATAGTCTGGTATGTTCTAGTCTCATTCTGACTACAGAAAACTGTCATGGTACCAAACAATCTGCCAGCTAGTTAGACACAATAGTTTAGTATGTTAACAAAAAAAGAAATTTCCTTGTGACAAAAGCAAAAACGATAATTTCGTTGGTCGAGATGACTATATCATATTTGCATACTAACATGTATTTAAATGCACGTCCATCGCCCTGGTTTTATTTAACAGTAATCAGAAATAAAATCTTGCTCAAATAATAGACTGAAAATAATTGTTGACTTTTACTAATTTCAAAAAACAAGAACAAGTTGTTGAAAACAATCAAATCAACAAAAAGTGTCATTATTTGGGTATTTGCTGGAGAAATTAATCGTAGGTTGAAGAGGATGTGAAGTAGGACACGCCCCCTTTCTGTTATTCTAGACCAACAAACATCGGAATTGTCGGAGATAAGTTGAGCACTTGAAATTCTGAGAGACGAGATTGGATTTCAATTAATCTTAAAACACAGAGAAATTATAGAAATACAATAACTACATGTTAAATTCTGCCCTTTTGCTGTTTTCCTGGTTAAAAATACAATTTTATCATCGAGTTGTTCAGAGGAGTGTCCTTGGTTAAGTAGCTTGGCGCATCACTGGTGGCCAGTCAGACTAGAATAGACCGCTTGATAAAGTTTCTACCAAACCCCAATTCCATGATTTTAAAATAAACACCCGAGGGGGAAGAGGCAGTTTGATAATTTCTATAAACCCAAAATCTATAATGCTTCGATACAATAAACATAACAGACATGTCAGGGTATTTTGTCTTCCATTCAGCTACCTTAGCTTCTTAAATTAAGCTGTATAATGTTTTGTTACTTCCGACCATAAAATGGGGTTCTATTCTATCACAGGGAGCAATGTCGGTAAGTTTCAGATCTAGTTGGCTGAAATAGGTTTTGAAAGAGCAGGTCCATGCCAGTCTCGTCATCAATGCTTGGTGAAAACTTGTTTTAAACAAAGAGTGTCGAATCAGCAAAATACAAATAACACAAAAAAGACCAAGGTTAAATAATTCGTGGTTTGAAATAAGCTCAACCTTATCGTGTTTTACATCAAGTTTGATGAGAAGCACACAGAAACCGGTTTGATATAACGTCTATGTTATTATATCGGTTGACAGAAAGATAAAGTCTTGTTGTGGTTTTCACCAAATAAGGTTATATATATATATATATATAATTTGGTTAATGAATGAACTGGCGAATTGAAAGTGTATTTTGGAGTCACACCCACCCACCAATCATTCATCTGAATGTTTTACCAAACAATCAAACCTTATTTGTACTTCTACATCTTTGATTTTGGAAGAAATTATTTTGCTCGTCGGTTGATCTTTCTTTTGATGTACTCCCTTCTGTTTTACCACACCATCAAATCCAATTTCTACATTTGTATCTCGGTCTCTAGGGCTAAGGCTTTCTTAGTTTCTGCTAGTCGGTTTTCGGTTGATCTTTTCCCTTGCTGTTCCTCTTATAACCTATTCTAATGATTGACTAATCCCCCCCCCCCCCCGGAACTAGCTGGTTCTACCGTAATTCTCACTAATGGTTTATGTATATAAGCAATCCCACGTCTTTTACCTTTCAATCTGAATCTATAGGACTTCTCATCTTCTCCATTGTCAGTGATCTACCTCATTGTCCAGACAAAGATCGATTCCATGGGGTTTGGTCAAGGACCAACTGGTAGTAAGGATCCTTAATTGTGCAGTTGTTATCCAGGAAAGAGCCATGCCAATATGTTAATTGTTATCCAGTAAAGAGCAATGCCAAGAGATTAACTATGGACCTTAGTTGTTATCCAGGAAAGAGCCATGCCAAGAGATTAACTATGGACCTTAGTTGTTATCCAGGAAAGAGCAATGCCAAGAGATTAACTATGGACCTTAGTTGTTATCAGGAAAGAGCCATGCCAAGATGTTAACTGTGGACGTTAGTTGTTATCCAGGAAAGAGCAATGCCAAGAGATTAACTATGGACCTTAGTTGTTATCCAGGAAAGAGCCATGCCAAGAGATTAACTATGAACCTTAGTTGTTATCCAGGAAAGAGCCATGCCAAGAGATTAACTATGGACCTTAGTTGTTATCCAGGAAAGAGCCATGTCAAGAGATTAACTATGGACCTTAGTTGTTATCCAGGAAAGAGCCATGCTAAGAGATTAACTATGGACCTTAGTTGTTATCCAGGAAAGAGCAATGCCAAGAGATTTGGTCAACAATCAGCTGGTAGAAAGGTTACTTAATTGTTTTTACATTCCTTAATTCTAAATTCATTGGGACAAATCATTTTTAAATAGTTCATTCGTCAGTTTCCATTTGGTTCTCGTCACCATCCTACTTTCACCTCTTTCAATAAAGTTCAACGACGACATTTTAAAATCAATTTACAAAATGATTAGCTTTGACACCCGCTTTATCTTTTCAAAAAATATTAAGAAAAAGACGCGAGAAAAATGTGAGAAAAGAATGGTGAAGAATTAAAAAGCTATTAAGAGAGAAAATTCTCATCGAAGCTGGACAAAATAAATTTATCATTACAGATTTTTTAATGGATTCAGTAAAAATGGAAAAGGTTTTAACAGCATAAAGATAATTTTTGAGTAGATTTTGACGAATTAGATTGTGAAATTAAGAAAGATTAAAAGGTGTTATAGAAAATAAAATTAGAAGTTTAAATGGATGGAGTTTTTACTCGACATTTGAGGTTTTTATTGATATAACCAGAATCTGACACCAACCTATTACAAATCTTTTATTTCTTCATTTTTCTCAAATTGTGGGAAAATTGAGATTAAAAGACTGGAAGAAACCTGATAATTTCCAGGAATTAAAAAATAAATTCCCAGTCAGCCTCGGGGTCTTTTCCTTCCATTCCAATTTACATCTGTAGTCTATCAAAGATGTGGAAATTCTCTTCACGATTCAATAGGGTTTTCTTCATTTAGCTGAATATTTCTGTACGTCTGGTACAAAATGTTGGTAAGTTCAGATTGTAACAAATTTCAGTTGCTTTGTTACCTGATATTGCTGATCTTGTAGAAGTAATTGTTGAGTAGTGTTCTTCTATCAGATGAAGTTTCGGAGTGAAGGGTACAAAACATTTGTAAGAGAAGAGGCAGTCATGTTGCTCTGAACCTGGACAGCCGATGCCGTGTTGCGACCTTGGTTTGTCAACTGGACACATAGCTTATAATGTCTATTAAGACAACTCTGAAGCCCTGTCAGGAAGTTCACAAAGTTAATAATGTTTAAGTGGTATATTTAATAGATTGGTGTCAATTGGCCCAGCAAACAATAAACCTATCAGTGCTGTCCAGGTGTTATTGTTCCTGGTGTGCTCTACTGTTACAGATAACCGCCAGAAAATGCTCAATGAGCTGACGTTGGAGGATCAAAGTTTATCTATAAAATGGTACTGCGATGTGGAAGGGTGTATTTCGATATCTCTTTGCAACTTTAGATTCTATATCACAAATAAGAATTATTATTAATATTGGAAGTGTTATTAACAACTGAACATGTATTGAATATAAAACCAGAAGACAATAGCTACGGTTGTAATATCGATTGTAGAGAAATAATTACAGAGACAAAAATTATATTTCAGCGATTAATGGTCCCAATTGTTGGTTGAAATCATTCCAGATTGAACACTAGTTGGAAATAATATTGATAATAATGTGTATTATGAGTATTTTACTCGGAGTTTGATGTTACCAGATCAATTCTAGAGAAATAATGAGAGAAACAGTGAAGTTGTTTATGAGAATTTTATACGAGGAATTTCTCTCTCTGTATATTACTGTGATGATTAAATTATTTTTTATTGAATTATCAACTATGTTATACATTGTTCTCATGCCATCATTTCATATTTTATCTTTCTCTTCATCTTTCATCTGGTTATTTTATTGTTTTAATGTTCTGCTGGTCGAAATAACTATTCAATAACAATGGAATGGAGATTTCCACCCTTTCATTCTGCTTCTGTAATGATTTTTTCATCGGTCAATGTTTTGTTCTTATGTTTAAATCTTCGAAATAGTAATAGAAATGCGGTGGGGTTTTACTACCTATTGTCGCCCTGCTTACTAAGTACTTGGAGACGAACAACACCATGTGAGATGGTAAAAAGCTTTTTTTCGCTTACCAACTGTCCAAAGATCCTTAAAATATACAGATTGTAGCAATCGAGCCCTTTAGAAAAGTAAAAGAGGGCCTGACATTTCCCTCTTTGCAAACCGAATAGTGTTGAGTGTTTTCATCAGCCCTTTTTCAGAAGCCCCATCTCAACCAAACCGAACCTAAAGCCCCATTCAATTTCAACTCTCAATTGCCCTCTGTTATTAAAGTCATCGAATTTCGATTTCTGTTTTGTATATTATGTATTTATGCCTGTAAATCGATGGAGTTAGGATATTTATAGCCGGATCTGTTTGTTGTATTATTTACTGCAGGATAATTCCAGTCTGTAACTAACTATTATATTGTCAATACCGTGATTTATTACAGTAATAACGCCCTGCTATAATATCGTTATGATTTGATAACTACTATTAACTCAGCTTGTTGATTGGTCAGATTATTGGTTCAATCATGTCAATCATATTTAATACATCATATTATCATTCTATACAGCACGAGATTCTCTACAGCACGTGATTTATATTCTATACGGTATGATATTACAGAAATTATGATTATGATAACTCTATTACTTCACGACGGGAGAAATTCTGATTCAATGACAGCACATTTCTCAGAGACACGAGAGAGAATCAGTGGTTGGACGGACGAGAAGGAGCTGATATGATTAGAATTAGTCTAATCCGTCAAGTCCTAGACACAGGAGAACTGCTGATAAGTCCACTGGACAAGAATCTGATTATATGAATAATAATTCTACATGAATATCTATCTATTACAAGTTTCACTCAATACAGGAGGGTAGGCCAAGCGACGGAGAATTTCCGGAGATCGGCGGGAAAGAAGTTGATATAAGGCTGATGACTGTAAGTACAGAATAATCTGTCAAATTCAAGATCCCTACACGAAATGGAGGTATGGGGAGAACGGAAGGTACAGACAATCTTGGAGATCCACGGGTACGATGTTATAAGAACCGTGACTATCGTTTAACTTTAACGATAGAAACAGATACTGGTAGAGCAAAGATATAAGATGAGACTGTAGGTAAAGGACAGCAAGGAAAGAAGCTGAAAACGTTGCTATTATCTGTTGTGTTAACAGAAAGAGATTCTGGTATAATGGAGGAATATGATTATGATTTGTTAAAGGTTATAACAGCTATCAGAGACCAGAACTAATATTCTTTATTAATATCATTGATTCACTCATCACTATAGTGATTCACTATAGTTGATTTGGGAAATAGCTACTAGGTTAAACCTGCTACCAGATAGAGGTTTCAAAACCTTGAAATCAGATGTTTTTTTTACGTTCTATATCTATATTACTGATATATCAATCTATTAAGTTGATTTTGAGAATGGTTACAATCAGTAATTATAGAAAAGCACAACAAAACCTTAACACAGTGTATATATTTGTGGTTAGCCATTCAGCTATACTACATCAAATGCTTTACTCAAATCAAGCACTCAGTCAACTCAATTGCATCACATCCTTTGTACAACAAATGTTTGCGGAAATTATTAACCCATGTATTCAATGATACTTTGGGGTTTTAAGTCCTACTTCGATATAGATATCATTGATCAGTCATTTTACAACAGTTGATCTGAGAATTGGCTACTGGCAGATAAAACCAGGACGAAACTTTACGGGACTGAAGCTGCTAATTTGGGATCTCAATTATAGTTTTGCATGACCTTAAAACCCTTACGATTTATTTCCAGCTGTGTCTTAAAACCTTCTGCAATATTGAAATGAATTAAAGTAAAACGAAATGAAATGGAGTTTTACGTCCTAAAGTCCATGGCACTTCAAATGAGACGAATATAATAAGAGAAAGTAACGACAGGAAAATTGAGTAAAAAAATAATCCTAGTAAATATCGTGTTGGTTGAAAATCCAATAACTAGCTGATTCCAGAAATAAAAATAATTTCCAATGGTCGGTCGATATGAGATGAAATATCTCTCCAGACTCAATATTAGAATTGGTCCTCTCATTTTTCACTATTAACATCCAAATATAAACCCCAGATTTAATATGACTTGAAATTACTCCACTCTTCATCGATTTCTAGCTTCAAGTCTGACTCCCGCGAAAATATTCCACTGAAAATAAGGGTGTCGAAGGATACAACTGTTCAGCTGACCAGCAAATAACCTAATATTCAAAATTCTGAGAGATACATATCCTTGATAATTTTGTCACAATAATACTGTGAAGAGCTCCTCGTCAGTCCTTGTGATACTGGAACACTTTCTTGAAAGTGCTTTGTCATCCGGAGGTCTGGTGTGCTGTAAGCTGTACATACAAGATACATCTACAGTTGGAAATCGAAGCAGATGAGGCTAATGTCCTCTCCCCTCCTGTTTTTTTTTAATTTTTCCGTGGGACTACCTTATTTAATAATAAACACTATGCCCACGTCCCATCAAAGCAGCAAGATTCTACACCCCCCTCCCCCTCCCCCTCCCCTCCGCCCTATTCCTACCGTGGGACACCCCCTTCATCTCTAAAGAAATTGTGTATAAATGATAAAGTCAGACATTGATATTATTTTCATCTTGTCTAAAACTAGGATCTGGATTCTGTCGTCTCACAAAAAGTTGACGATTTCATTGAAGTTTTATAGAATAAAAATATTATAGATGAAGATTGACTTGTCTAAACCCAGGATCAGGTTTTTATTAATTTAATATCGAAAACTCGATTAGGTGACATTTTTCTTTGGGTCATGCTTTCTCTTGTTTACTGGCTATCAGTTTTCAGAATCACGGATTTTTCGGGGGTAATTACTATCTGACCAAAATATCTCCTTCATTTTAAAAATTCAAGTTGTCCAGTTGTTTATATGGTAGCCAAAAGAAACACGGTATTATTGCAGGGAATTCGCAAAGATAATAATATGGTGTTTCGCTGAAGGGAATTTTAGACTTGTACCAAATATACAGTCCGCTATTGCCATTTTATTGCAAACAAAAGAAACAAAGTAGCGAAGGACATTAAACCATAGCAAATCATCTCATTATAGTGAAATAATAAATTGCAAATTGTTGACAGACGAATGACACAAGTTAACAAGATATTA